TTTTTTCTCCCATGTCCCCTGCGGGGCTCCGTACTCTGGAAAACACTATTTTACAAAAAAAATAAGCAAATCATTATTTTTAGATTAGATTAAATTACAAATACAAATTGCAGTTATTTCCTTTCTGTGGTTGAATGTGGTTGGAATTCGTTTTTTTTATTTGCCTAATGAATAACAACATAATTTTTAGTTTTAAATACTTTTTTTTTTTATAGATTTTCAAAAATATGTGTGTTTTCTACAACGTTGACAGTTTCTAGTGTATTTCCTGGGTTTACCATCGGTATATTAGCCGAAATTAGTATTAACACCAATCAGAGAAATCACTGTTTCAATTTGGGATTGTGGGTCAAGGATCCTTTTCTGCAACATTGCGAACAAAACACTTATTTTGTTTAATCAAGGTTGATATCATACATGCAGGTGCACATACTATCACAGTGTTGTAGCTCCAAGTAAGTCTGCTTTGGATGGTTACAGCTTTCTAGCCCATAATCAAAATACCTATGGTGAATAAGAATGCATTGTAACTAGAGATGGACCGATCCGATATTACCTATCGGTATTGGTCTGATACTGACGTAAATTACTGGATCGGATATCGGAGAAAAATTAAAAAAAATGTAATCGATCCATTAAATATCAAAAAAGCACCTCACAAAACTTGCGACATGGCAACTCGGCTCATAACCGTTGCACGTCACAGCAGCAGTGATAGAGCGGCTGTGTGTATTTGTAGCCTTGCTAGCATTTCATCTCCGAGGAAGTTATCCCAGAGAGAAGTAAAGCAAATGTTTATTGCTCACTTTGCGCCAGAAAGAGGAAACCAGCGGCTGAACAACAGCAGCACGTTTAAGCTTGATAATCTGTTGTTAGAATTTATTTAATATTACTTTCTACACCAGGATCCTTTTCTACGTAGCTGACGGCTGGTAACTGTGCAGGGGCGGATCTAGCAAAGTTTAGCCAGGGGGGCCGATAGGGCATTAACAGGGAAAGGGGGGCACAAAGATATACTTTTCTTTCTTATTCTCATTTAAAATGTCTAGCTTTTAATAAATAATTATCCGAATCTTACACCCAAAGTTTTAATCTGATGTAAAATGT